ACCCTTTAGAAATTAGCAATTCAAAATGGTGACGGATGCACCGGCCTAGGGGGCGCGTGCGCGGAGACCCAGTTACCGGCCCGAGGTCGCGGGTTCGTTCCCCGATCCGTATTGATCGGCGAGTCGAGGCCGGAAGAGGGACGGTGCAGCGGACATTGATGGGGAGGATAACACCACCTCCGATCTATGATAAGGATTTTATTGCTGTGTTTTGATGTTTGGTGGTAAAGGGTTTTGGTAAGTGGAAGTGGAAGAGCGTCTGCTTTGATATTGGGTCATTGGGGCTAAGACACTATTTTTATATGATTTTTTAAAAGAGAAATGGATGGACATAGTAAAAAACAATATATGAGCCTTTTTCAGCTTAATATCCCATGACCCATCGCAGTCGATTGCTGTTTGATATTTTAAAAAATACACAAAAATTTTGAAAACAGCTTCTTCGACTTAACTCGAGTGCTTCGTGCTAGCAATCATCTTCATTAGCATACTAGTGTCAATGATAACTGTTTTATCACCTATCGTTGCGTTAAAACTTTTATTTGACATAAAGTGAATTTGACAGAAGACTTGTCACAATATTTGTTAATCTGGGTCACACTAAAATTGAGATCATTACTGCAAAAATGCAAGAGATAATATTATCATTTTGGTATTTGAATATTAGCATGTCACTGTTATCAATCTTTATACATCAAAAGAAAACATGGCGATTCATTGTAATAAATTGTAAGAAGCATGGTGAATGGTGATGTTATGCAGCCGAAGTCACTGATAAATTGCCATTACTGCAGCGTAAGAACGTAAAGACTCATAATCTGGTTACACTTGACATTGACATAAAATTACTAGCCTAGAAGGAAAATTGCCGTGACTGGTTCAAACGTCAAACATAACCTCTTTAATTTTAATTATTTAATCTCTGCACCGTTTTTACAAAGTAATCCCAACTAATATTATAAATGCGAAAGTAACTCTGTCTGTCTGTCTGTCTGTCTGTCTGTCTGTCTGTCTGTCTGTCTGTCTGTCTGTTACGCTTTCCCGCTTAAACCTCGCAACCGATTTTGATGAAATTTGGCATAGAGATAGTTTGAGTCCCGGGAAAGAACATAGGATAGTTTTTATCCCGGTTTTTGAAACAGGGACGCGCGCGATAAAGTTTTTCTGTGACAGACAAAATTCCACGCGGGCGAAGCCGCGGGCGGAAAGCTAGTTACGAATAATTTTCAAATTACATTACCAAAACAAAATGTGTTAATACTTTTTGTCATAACAGACAAGTTATGACATTGTCTCAATCTATGTAGGCACTTGATAAAGTAACAATTAACGAACATTTGTCAAGGTGCGCGTAATCTTCAGACATGTTGACAGTAAGTTTCAAGTGGTGCCTATTGTTAGCATATCGCTTGTTTAAGTGAAGGCTAGTGTTGACAGTATTGTCCCACTTTGAGGGGGACGTCCCAGTTTTTAATAGTTAGGACACTTGGCGGAATCCAAAGAAGCCAAATTAATGTCCTCAATTCAGATTTAATGATCTGAGGATAATATATTATAATTATTTAGTGTTTGTAAAGTATATTGCATGCAACCCTAGTAGTCATATTTATTCCTATAATAGTAGTATCGTCACATGTTTTTCTGAAAAAAAGAAACAACATTGATATTTATTTTTTGCTACTTAGTATTTTAAGTTAAATTGCTCATTTTACCACAATGCCATAAGACTGTAGAAAAGTATTTTTATTCATTAAAAACTATTTTTATTTGGTCCATTTATAAATCAAACTATATCGAGCAGCGAGCAGCACTGCCGCACAATTTATAAACGCAGTAAGTAACACGAGAACAGTTTCGAGAAAAACGCGATCAAAGTTGAAATTTTATTTTGGAGTGTCTACAATTAGTTACGCAAATATTTGTAAAAAAAAATATATGGGCTTATAGAGCTAAACTCAAAGTTTATTTTGATATGAGTTTTTTGTATTTTAATTAATATTTTGTATTTAAAATTATTAAAAAACTGTTTATGTTATGGATTAACTAAGTTTTTGTTCGATACTTACTACCCATGAATGCAGTATGATTGTTCCTTACTGCGTTTATCAGTAGTTTTCGTTACTTACGGTACATGTGTTAAATGATTGATTTAAATTTTAGTTCTTACAACGTAATATATGCGCCGTATCTTTACAACTTACTGCATTTATGAGTGGGAGTATGAATCAAAATAATTTATCAAAACTTTAAATGTGCAGTAATAATACAATTATACTGCGCTTATCATAAGCCAATAACGCTTTCATGTTGAACTTTCCCAAATGACCAAGGGGTAAATGAAACAAGTATTACAAAATAATTGTTGAGATCGCTTGTTATTAAATCAAAAATTAAGATATGGCACCCTAATCGTACCATCTCTAAAGTACCTATTAATAAACTTCAGTGTTGCAATAATTCGAAATTGGACAAATAGTTTTAAAAGGTGCAGTGTCGGAAAATAGACACGGTGAAGTAAGTTAATGTTTATATTAGCTAAAATAATTTTTTTGCTACAGTTTTTTGTCATAAGTATTTCAAAATTATTTAAAAAGTGTAGTTTTTTTTATTTAAATTAGTACAGTTAATTATTATTCCTAAATACTACGATTTTACATTAAAGAAGGATAACAGTGCTGTTGGAATAATAAACCTTGATTGTGACGATGATCGACCGAGCGTGTATAGAAATACGCGTGTGCTCACAGGCGCGTGGCGGTCCTGACTGATTTGCAACTTGAAGTTGTCGCGCGCTGTAGGTAATTATCTCGGCCGGCATAGGCGAGTGACGGAGGCCTGCTATAAGCCAATATAGGTCTCATTAGTGGTGGACATTTGGACCACTTTTGGTCATTGTCCTTTATTAAATATTCTACAGATTTAATATCATAACATGCCAATTATACAATTCTTTATAGGTCTGGGAGGCCATCAAAAAAAAAGTGCGTGCTCTTGACCCGAATGACTCTACGACTTACGAACAAACTAATAAAAATTAATATGACAACTCGATAATAACTCTGTCCGAATTCCGAGAACGAAACAAATCATTGTGGTGTTTATAGCAGATTCGATTTAGAATACAAATCGAAGCGCGCAGTGATCCAGTTCACGCGCTGACGCAAGTGACAGTTGGGCAGCCAAATGGTTATAGATCTCGGTAGGTTCGTTCTATACTAGGTTATTTCCTTACTAAATTCGTCTACTAGGTGCGAACTCTAGTGTGCGTGTACAACAATAATGACGCATCCATGAGTGCACATGCACACTACAATAATGACGCTCGGATTGCTCGGATCAAACTCCCCGCACCCCACGCTTCCCCCGACCAAAAAGTGGTGGGGTGCGTCTTCGTGGATGAAACGATCTATATGTATACCTTTTGGTGTGTGGTCTACTAAGGTCATCCTATACTTGGTTCGGTTTCTGTAGGTGGGTATTCGGCAAGCTATTTTTTTCTAACCAGGATGGCGCTCGCTGAAATGGCATTTGTCTCTACTTCTATAGAGAAGGAATGGAATTTTGTCAAATAAACTGTATGAGACTTCAGCTGAATTGTTTTACAGCTTCAAAAACTGAAGTTTTTTTTAAGTTTCATTACCTTTTCGAAATCCTTTGGTCATAGGTTCCGTGATTACGACCGAGAAAGATGTGACAAACGCATTCAAAAGAACAAAAATAAATAATACGGCCACTAAAACATTATTACAGTAGCCCCAATATAAAAATAATGCTTTATTTATGTGCGCACCGTTTCTCTTCGTCAAAGACACCGCATTATTAAGTGCGGGCTTAACTTCGTGTGTTTTTATTTGGAGTAATTAGTTCATGGATTTACGACTGTACAGTGAGCGGCGGAAATGGCACAGCGAAATAAATTTTATTGCCATAGCAATAAGGATTAGTAACTTTATGTTTGTTCCTGGTCAGGGAAGTGATACAAACCACAATGGGGGGCTACAGCAGTAAGATTCCATAAGACAAGATTGTTGTAGATATCAAGCACTTACTCTTTTGAAATCCATGTCTTGGAACTGTCTTTTAAGTCGGATATTTTTTATATTTGTAGTCTTAGAGCTATATTTATAGCAGCTGTGTAGTTTTTATTACGCATTAGATTCGCACATTAATTCAAACTCGTAAAGAGCCACCTAACGAAAGTCTTTTAACCTATTTGTCCTACTGCTGAGAATCTGCAGATAAACTCTAATATTATTTACTTACTGGTCAAAAGGCACTTCTTTAACCAATGGAGAGGAAAGCAAAGAGTGATGTTACTGCTTATACTTCAATAGTGTAGCTGATGCGCGGCCCACAAGATGGATCGCACGATGTAAACGGCTGTTATTTAAAAATACACTTGTACGTTCGGCAATTATTCGCTAATGAACTAAAGTGGATCGGCCGCGTTACCGCGAGATGAAAGACGCTCTGCACATGGGATTGGAGATAGGATTTAGTTTTAGACAGATTTGATTTATTTGAGGATTTATTGTTTGACTATTTACAAACTTTTCTTTCGCCACATAAATAGTCACTTTGGATTGTGTTTCAGCCAAGAGATTACAATTTCTCGTAACCAACCTTAAAAATGCTTAGGCAAGACTTTAGAAGCTATACGTATTGCTATACTCTAGGTTTTGGCTTGTCAATACCTACCGCGGAAGGCGGCAGGTTGTGGGGTTCGACTTCGAACCCACTAAAAATAAAACCCTGGTTCCCTTTACCGCTAAGTGATTGGCGTCTTGGGTTTTAGAAACAATCAAGCCATCTTTTAAGGACGTTCTGCCCTACACGGGTAGGCCGTGGGACCCCCCATCAACAGGGGACGATGGGATATTAGTCTAGCTACTCACTGCCTCTCAGCCCTGCCGCGTGCGCAGCTCGCCGTCCGTTACATCCTCCACTACGCCTCCACTCCACTTGGTATATCCTCACAGGTAGTATACTAGTGTAGCTACTCACTGCCTCCTCGCAGCCAAGGCGGTCTTGTCCTGCTCGGGCGTGCTGGCCTCCTGCAGCACCCGCGCCGGCACCCAGCCCTGCCGCGTCAGCTCGCCGTCCTCCACGTCCTCCACTTCGATTACTTCACTTGGTATACCTTCGCAAGTAGTATACTAGTGTAGCTACTCACTGCCTCCTCGCAGCCAGCGCGGCTTGTACTGCTGTACAGCTCGCCATCAGCCGAGTTCTCCACCACGCACATTAACCAGGACTCCATTCCAATTGGTATATCCTCGCAGTTTGATACTAGTGTAGCTACTCACTGCCTCCTCGCAGCCAAGGCGGTCTTGTCCTGCTCGGGCGTGCTGACCTCCTGCAGTATCGTCGCCGGCACCCAGCCCTGCCGCGTGCGCAGCTCGCCGTCCGCCACGTCCTCCACCACGCGCACCAGCCATCTGCAAGCGAAAACGGACCTTATGACTACTGCTGGAAATGGTGTCTTCCCTTAACCAGAACCAGACGAGGGAATCAACAACAAAAGAGTACCCTCAGACTTCTTATCGGTCAACAGTTTGGTCAGCTTCTAGATGGCTGATACTGCGCGCAGTTTCATCATGTTCATACTGTTTAACAGCCTGACCAAACTCTCGGTCGACAAAAAGTTTGTAGTCTGTGGAATCTGGAGAGTACAATTGTTTCAGTCATAGGACGTTCACTGCTGAACATAGACAATTATTTCCAGGTTTACGGTTGGAAGCAGCCTGAATCTTCAGTGACTTCCAAGACTTTATAAGGACATCTATAGTCTAAGCTTGGTTTGCGCTTGATAATTGTGGTAAATATAACTATTACAATCAAAGTTCCATGACCTTCGAGTTCACGTGGAGACAATGACCGGTTTGCGAATTTTCCGTAAATTGTCAATTTAAAACAGCAAACAGCAGCTACGTCGGAAGCTGTCATTTAGTTATCAGTATGCTTTGCCAAGGTTTATAATCTAAACGCCCATACACTAAAATAACAAGGTGTGAAGTTTAACAATTTAAAGTCGATTCTACATTTATTTAATTTTAGACGGGAGTATAGTAGGCTATGTATGTATTGTGTAAATGTTAAAGCATATTCTGTGGTAGAGGAAAACATGATCCAATGCGTCTTATGTCTTGAACAGTGTACTAATTGGGCAGATTCTCTGATGTCCCTGTTATAACGTGAATAGTCAGCTGCGTGAATTAGTTTAATTTCGAAGAGGAAAAGGAATTTACAGAGAGTTTATCCTCTTCCAATAAGCTATGCCTAGTGTAGACCTAGCCCTATCCCCTGCCGTAACAACACTAGCAACGAAGATGATGCAGCCAGGCCTTCGACCCAGGGTCAACAGCCTAGATTCATAGACTAGCCTGTCTAGTGTTTGTCAGTCTTTATAGTCCAATCAAAGTCGCCGTGAATTGGTGCATATCTTGTTTGTTTTAAAAACAAGCATTTTAGAAAATAGGCACTTCTGATGATAAAACTGACAGACAGTTTGCAGATGCCCATAACTTCTTGGATTTATAAAGATACCTAATAAGAGGCGACAGCTTTAGTTCATGTTATTTTTTAAAACTTAATGACCAACGATTTGCCAAAAGTTATGAAGAGCGAAATACATTTTCATTTTACTAATGCAAATACATCGTATTTTACAAATATCTCAAAGAAAACGAATCAAATAATAATTAATGGAGTTTTACTTCTAGTCGAAAAAATACAAATGAGTTTATTTTGTTTTCCCAGACAGTAGAATGTTAAACATCTCATAAATAAGAACTCATGGTAATTGGCACTTCGCGCACTCCTCATGAGCGTGATTCAGTCCCAGTTCAGCAGGTCTTTAGCACCATCCATTCTGCACACTATTATTTAACATGACACACTTTATCCGCATTAAATTCATATCAGATATTAATGGCGACACACATAAATAAACTTGTCATTTAAAATAATTACATTCCTTTTATTCGGTCATAATTTCAGGAGCGTCGAATAAATCTCAGGAGTTTTCATATTTTTTAAGGTCAAGCCGCTTCTCCGCAAAATATCTACTTGACACAGAGTAACAAATTGTGGTAACGGACGGCTTTTGGGAGCTTCTTGGAAGCGATAATAATTTATCCTGAAGACGTTCTAATACAGGTTAATTGGTTGGGATCCATGTTGCCAAAGACAATAATATTAATCAAGCGATTCGAAAGACTCGTCACTTATATGAGAATTTACTAGACTTTCATAGAAACACTTATGAATTGCTAGATTTGTTTTTCAAACTCTTCCCCAAATAACATTAGTAATCCATATTAAAAGTAGTGAACTACTACTTTCTAATGGAACATGACGAACGCTAGTCCCTGTCAATGAATTTGGCGCCAAGAATAATGGGCTTATCAAAACAAGCTCGCAAGTGTTGTGAAAAAGTCGTTTATCGACTTTTCGACTAAGGGAACTTAATTCCAAGCAGCTAAAGGTGACTGAAAAAGGTTACCTATTTCAAATAAGAAAAATACAAATGAGACTTATCCATGTGAAATATTAATATTACCGTATAATAACCAGGTTTTTTGGTTGGGTGCAGGCAGTGGAGATCTCTACAGATCTACTACTATAGGTATAATACCTACAAGAAGGTTATTCATAAAGACAGTATCGGTATCGACATCAAAATTGGATCGATAACATTTTCCCAGCCGCACTAGTCCTTATTTGAAACAGATATGAACCCAGATTGAGTCCGGAAGACGGATTAGTGCGATGGAAGTAAATTAGGTTCGAAAACAAACGTAGTTATTGCAGGACACGAGATGTTTGATTCGTGGCCCACATACGAGACGGGAATGGCGCACGCATCAAAAGCATGCGAACAGCAAGTAGGTTTGACCTTTTTGTACACAAGCATGTATTTTTGAACCATGAAAGTTCCAATTTCTAAACGAAATTAAACTAATCTTAAACAAGATATTTCAAACTCTATTGAGTATAAGAATTCCTTAAAGAAATCGCATATAATCGAGAACAGGTAATATAGAATGAATTTCTTTATTTGATGGACCGACCAGCATTAGGAATAATACAAATACGATCTCTACTTAAAAAAAAACCGTACCTACTTTAGTAATTCTCCAGATTTTCATGATAGAATATCTGAAATATTGTTGGAAAATGTAGACTGCGGATGTGCCTAGTTTTAGACCGAACCGTTTTAATTAAGCTCTCATTCAAAGTGGCGTGTCAAATCTGATATGATACCTAGAACAGTAAATTGGCGAGTATCAGGAAGCGCCGTAGCGTCTCACCTACTTACCTCTTGGCACCCGCCGCACCTCGGCTGGTTACACACTGCTGGCGTTAAGCAGCTCTACATTACTTAGACGAAAAATGATATTCTGATTAGACTTACACCCGTAATCACAAATAATGCTTGCCTAAGTGAAGCAGCAACGCCATGCGAAGTCGAATAGAGCTCTGTGATTGTAATGTAATGTTTGTGAATACGGGTGTATACCAATGATGGTCGTAGCTGGTTTCTGAAGCACACGTAAGTACTTAAATCAAAGAAATTAATTTTAATTTTACTTTGTACCTACATAGTGAATTTTCAGCAGCAAAAAAGATGTAAATAGTGAACCCTCAGCCTTACTGTGGGTTACCTCCTCATACAATTTTACTGTATGCGCTCTTACACGCTATAAATCGCACTGACTGTCAGAGGATATTAACTGTCCCCTACATTTTGTAATTTTACCCACCTACTTCCCTAATAAGATTAAGATACTGATATTTTGGCAGTTTTTTTTTATTCTTCCAAAGTAATAATGACTTGTTAACACAAAACGCTGTACTATACTAAATTAAATTAAATGTCTCAATGATTAAATTAGTCACATGTTTTGCTTTCGTTGCTGTAATATCCTCAATAATGAACTAAAATGAGTCTATCAAAACAACACAGATCTATTTCACAGCTTTGAAAACTTTCAAGTCGTTTCAACAAAGCTTTGATCTCCAGCTTGCCGTTATCATATTTTGAGTTGACCCACAATCCCGGATCCACTTAAAGTTCATGGCACAGGGTTAAATTAAGCTCGCCGATCCACATGATACAGCTTCGAAAGCTCGTAAACTTACGCGACACTGAAATACGCGAAAAAGACTCAACGATCCAAGGATTTAATTTTATTAAGGAGTTACAACATCGGGATTAGGAACGAAAAAGAAGGTTAGAGTAATAAAGATTAGATCCATGACTGCTATTCATAGATATTGTTTATGAGTTGAGAAATCAGATCAACCAGTATTTAGGTTCATTAACGTTGGAGTTATATTTAGTTTTATTGCCAAAAGTTGCGATAGCTGCCGCTGAGAGTGCGAAGACTCTTAAAAATTCTAACATCAGCATCGTTGGCTCCACAATTTATTAATGTTAAAAATCTATAGACATAAATTATGGCGAAAGTAAGGTTGAGGTCACTGTGCAGTGTCAATGCAATTCCTTCTGACTGCTCATCACCTTAAGTAGCAATAGGTTTCCAACGAAGGCAAAAAGAACTCAAGTAGGTAGGTACTAAGTCGTTGAGGTAGAAGTTTTTAAATGTTTCTTCCAGGAGTAAGGTAGTCAAATAACTATGGATGGAAGAGACCCAGCACGCAGTCCCAGGATGACAATCTTTTGGAAAAGAGGCCAACCAAAGACTGAGAGAGATGGAGAGATGAATACTTCTTTTCATTTTATTTCGAACTCATTCGCGTACGGAAGCACTAAAGAAATCAATGGGGCATAAAATTGTCTGCTCATTGGTGTCGCTTTCTTTGCGTGGGCAGTCTTTTTAATACATTTTTATAAGAAAATTGATGCTCAAGCCAGGCCAAGATCATTAACATGCAGCTTAGTCTTTCGCGTTAAAGATTGATTCTTTTGCCTAAGTGAAGCAAATCGAACGCACAGCGTTGAATAGAACTCTGTGATTGGTTCGTGTGTCACCCTGTGCATCCACGCGCACTGTGAGACCTCATAGTAATGTTTGTGCATATGGGCGTCAACAAATAAAAATAAAACCCGGCGTTTCGGCATTATTTATGAAAGCATCTACGATTGCAGGTGCATATCTCGCGGGGAAATCTATTCGGGGAAAATAAATCGTACAGCCTAAGTGATGTCAATATCAAAGGCACTTAGGTCAATTATTATCGTTTAACACGCGTCCTCAGGACGTAAAACGAATGCACATAAGTACTAAAATGTGTTGTTGATTTTACGAGTATGCTTGATGGCCGATAAACCTGGCAAGCGTAGGGCATAGGTGAGAGAGCTTCCAGACACGAATGTGGTGGAAAATAACGATGGCTTGCAGACGTAAATTATGAGTCATTTAGCATTGACTTGATATGTATTCTAATGGCGAATTGAAACAATGTTTCTTAATGCACCCGTGATGCATCCAAGTTAGAATAAAGGCGGTTCATTAACTCAATAGAAACTATGTCCACGAATTCACCCCTATGATAATAATTATTATGTGTAGAGCACTGACAGCAATTTAGGATCTAGGATAGGAGCATACTAACAAACATATACTCGCTGTCACAAGAATATAAAGCAGGTGTCCAAAAGACTAAACATGTCATTACTGTTTAAATAGGCACAGAATGCCGTTGATACCACAATAATTCATTCCTGAGAAATGGTTAACTGAACTACGTAGTCATCAATCAGTTTCATATACTCTACATATCAAAGAGCGACCACACGTAGCCTACAGCTCCTGAATTACATAAATTATGTGCTTCAACTCCGAAGAGTGTAACAATAAAACTAACGGACTTGTTATGCGCGCGCTCTTTTGAGCGCTCGTAAAGCGTTATGAGCTATTTAACGATCACTCCTGCTCATTAAAATAGCTCGTTTCACGGGTAGAAAGCGATCGGGAACCACAGCCAACAGGTCAACTTTAACACAGCTGCAGAAGATAGACTCTACTCCTAAAAGCTCTTATGTTAATAGCCCGATGGTTTTGGACGTTACGAGTAAGTATTGCTAAATCGATGAGATATCTTGGATTTTTTTCATTTTACAGGAACAATAGTATGAGTTATATTTGTAATACTGTAGATATGAATGTGTCAAACAAAAGTTCATTGACATATATGAGGATAGTTGCAAACATACCTCAAGGCAAAAATAGAGCAGCAAAACTTTCAATCAAATCTAATAAAGAGTTTGCCAAACAGGATGAATGATGCTGATGTGAAACGTCATAATTCAACCCAAAAAATGGTAGCGCCAACAAAAATTAGGCTGGCCAGTCCCAAATTAGCGGTGTGCCCAAAACTGGGGCAGGTGGGAAGGAGCAGTCAGTCTAGTGAAACTGAATATCCCCATTTGTTCAGAGTGGGAGGCAAGTCATGTTAATAACGCTAATAATGTGCGTAGATTATTTTCAGAACTGCGGCCAAGCCAATTTTCGGGACCGGTATTTTTTGAACTCCCGCACCCCCCGGTGGTTTGATTTTGACAATACAAATAGAGTGGATGGGGAATTAAATGAGAGGTCTGCGTTAGCTGGCGATGCTGTGTTAGAGTAATGTGTAGTTAGCTTTGTTTCTTAGAAGTAGGGACGTTGACCCAATCAATCTTCCCGCGAAGAGACAATTTGCAATTCTTGCACAATGTTACCTCAGCATCAGATATTGATTTATTAATTTTGGTATATCACAAAATATGAAGACTAGTTAGTGAAGAGTTGAGGATTTGAATTCTTAATATCGTCACTGTCTAGATATCATGCGATTTAACCAAGTAAAGTCAATTGAGGACTATGAAGAGTATGATTTCATCATTATGACTAGGCAAATAAAAACATCAAATTAATCGATTTTTGTGAGATCATTTTAAAACTAGATTTTAAGAACAAATTAATATAATAAGAAGAAACCACCGAATCACACGGACGATAATATTTCCAAATGGCGCGTTGGCGGCAGTGATAAGTGTAGGAGATCTAGGAAGCCATCCGTTACATGGATGTAGGAGATGAATAAGTACAACACATTATGTCGTTGGAAATATGTCAATTTCAGACTGTTTTGAGTCTGTCGTACATTCAGATTTTACACTATTTCTTATTTATAATTAGTCTTTGTCCCTGGTTATCTTCGGTTCGTGGATTTTGATTCGTATAACTGAAATACTGTATCCCACAGGAAATGTGGACAGAGTTCAAAATTGACCAGGTTAGAAAAACATCGTTGCAGGTAGATAACTAAAAGATGAATTCTTCTTAAATTTATGAAAAGATAGGTCTTTATTAGCATTATTCAAAGAGTTTTAATTTGTTATGTTAGAAAATATTTCGAGATGAAAGTCTCTTTGTAAGTATTATAAAGTGATTTTTAGAAAAAAATGTCTTTGAAATAAGCTAAAAGGATTTTAGTGTAGTATTAGCAAAAATAACAATAAAACAAATGAGATTACGGCGAAATGTAATCATTCAAGCACAAAAACCTTGTAATAGCTTTTTCACAATTAAAGTATATTTTGAGATTTATGTTCTGTGACACGTTTTGCGAATTTCGTAATAGTTTTTAGGTCACCTAGTGGAACACATCAATCTATACTAATATTGTGAATCCGAGTGTTACTCAGTTGTACTGTAATATATCTTTCTGTTTGTTCTGTTTTAATCTATACCGCTGATTTACCATTTGTCGTAGAGACATCTTTAGATGGGCGAAAAGAGAACGCTCTACCTATTTACTACTTCGATACCGAACCAAAAATAACATCTTCAAAGCTAAGGCCCTAGTCCCTATAGATAAGGTATAAAGAGCTGCAGTTAGTCTCAAATTGTTAGAGCGTAAAGGTAGAGTTTTAGAATTAAAAGTTAAAAAAGTCCCAAAGCACACGTTTTCTGAAGTTGCAAAGCTGAGTTAACGATTTGAATGTTGATTTCTACTGGACTAAATAGTTTTTCAGATAGAATTAGGTATGTGCCCGAAGTAAATAATAATACGCAGACGAAGCCGCGGGTAGCCACATAGTAAAAGCGTTATGTAACTGTTACTGAACTAAATAGAGTCATCTAACAAATGGCTCTAGCGTTCGCTCCAAAACGCGGTCATTCCACATGTAATTTATTTTGATTTATTTTGTTCAGTGTAAAATTTCGTTTAATTCTATCGGAATTGGGGAATGGGACCACGGTCGGATTCCAGTTGTAATGTTTCGGAATGGTGAAGGTCGTTTGGAAGCTTAAGTGGCTATGAAAAATGCAGTTAGGTTAGATAAACAGGGCAAACCGTTATTAGAACCAATGCTGCACATTATACCTACTCGTACCTAGACGTCTTGTTCTAGACTTGAAAGTTTCAAGTTGAAACACGAAGCTTACGCCCGTATTCCCAAACGATGATTGCTTAAGTAAAGCAGCAAATCGAACGCACAGCGATGAATAGAGCTCTGTAATTGGTTCGTGTGTCACCCTGTACGTCCACGCGCACTGTGAAACCTCATGGCGTTAGTCACGTATAATATTGTTCCGGCTGTATAAGTCTGTGTTTACCATAGAAGAGAGGAAAAACTAGTAGATAACTTCTTGGCTGCATTCCTATAGCATTTTCAATTTACAGCTTATGTAGAAAACTAGTAAAAGCTGGTAAGCGCATATCACGTAACTTGAAGCACGACAGTCATCGCCCTTCAATCTGAAAAGTGTGCCTGCCCAGAGTTGTTTTTGTCTGAGAGCTGGTCATTTTTGCTGTGACTCGCTACAACTGCTAGGATACGAATAGAGCAGATACTTATTTCAAAAGCTTCTTCTTATTTTAAGAAGTAATTTTGGTCCCTAAATTTAAAGATGCTTACGTGAACATGAATTCGTTAGCGCGAAAAGGAAGCGTTATCTGAGTACAGACCTGTCGGCTGCCGCCTTGACTCCGTTGGCCCTGGTCTTGGGGTGGTTCTTCTTGGGGCGCACGGCTATCTTGTGCTTGGCGGCCGACGTGTCCAGGAGTTGAGCGTCTCCCAGGTCCAGGGCCGGGTCCAGGTCCAGCCGGGGCCTCCTGGGGGAGGGGACCGGTTAGTATGTTGTGGGTGCTAGACTGGTAGTACGTGGTCCGTGAGACATTATTTGTGGGAATGTTTTTAATAGTTGAGACTGTGAAGATAGGGGAAGATATTAAGTATGAAACTGTTTCAGTGCTAATAGATTAATTTTAAACTTCAATATTATGGTAAATTATTATGAAATGTATAAATGTATTTATAAATTAAGTCACTAATGCAGTAGGTTTTCAAAACGTTTAAATAAATACATAAATGAATATCTTAACACAATAAGTTATCTACAAGTATTTGAAAAATTCAATCACCAACAAAGAAAATAACCCCCTTTATATGCTGGTTTCAAAATATAACAGGAAGGACAGAAAATTCAGACACTCTAAATATGAAAAGTTTTCCAATGTGTCTGTAAGGACTCTACGTTTTTATTTAAGTAATTCATCTGATCAGAAATCTTAGAATACATCTCAATTAAAGGTGCAAGTTTTCATAATTCTGAATGCTGAGTTTCAGCTTTTTAAAACTGAAAGTATCCTACTTCTTCTCTCTTACACCTGAGCTTGGCCATAGTACAGGTGGATCATATGAAGAAAGTAATGACCGATAAAACGATCTTGCTGAAAGCCCTGCACCAATTAGGGCGGATAAATTAAGAGTTATACACAAGATCGTGTTCGTTACATTTGCGAGAGCTCCATCAATCAGCGTGCAGGTGTCTCGGGTGTCCGACAGTTCAATGTCAGGGTCCGCGCGGCTCGGGTTACCTCATGTGATCTGTTTTGACAGGTTTATTCCTAGATGGAGTGGGAGTTTGAAGAACATCGGTAAAGAGAATTTTGATTCAGATCTAGGTTTGTTTTAGACAAAGAATACGACGAGTATGACTCTCATTCGGCTTGGATCTATTGAAAACATTGACTGAAAACTAGACTCGTCGCCTTTGGGTCAGACTTTCGATTAAGACAAGGCTTGAAACCTATATTTTAATGATGATAAGACAAAATGATATGGAAATAACTTATAGTACTTAAGTAAATTATAATAATCTTGTCCTTTTAACTGATGGTCTTATCTTTCTTACGACAAAAGCAGCCAAATTGTTTGACTGGAAAGGTTTCCTGAAGTGCACCTCTCATTTTATGTTGCAATTTCACCTTTACAAACTTATTTATAAGTGTTACCCATATTTCATCTTAATATACCTATAATCATTTATTTCAGCACACACATCCTGCTTTAAAACAAATGGCGGTATAAAATTAAATAACCGATTACCCCGTTTGAAGTGGCCCGCCATACGGCTGGTGCTCAGCCAAATGTGCTTAGCTGCGCTTGCGCTTATATTCACGTTTTGTTTGCTGTCACGACAAGAACAAGCCTTTGCCATAAAATTATACGAATGGTGAAAAACATGTTCATGCCAAGTCGCACATCACATTATGGTTTAATAACAACCAGCTTTTTCCTTTGGCTTTCGGTCCGTCACAGTGTGAGGCGAGTGAGTCACCGGTGCGGTGATTGATTACCAGTCATTTTGTTTGCTAGATAAGTATACACTCTCGAAGCTTATAATAGTCAGTGATGATAGAACGGGTCTATAAAAATAAAACTTAACTTATTTATTTAGCAATTTTCAAGAATTTTTATTTTTTATTTTTATTTTTTTCCAAGCCAGTGATGAGGAAACATGCCTTTAAAATTAAAACTACTACATAAAAGTTTTAGTCCTCTTTTTTTAGAACAATAAAGGAAAATTACCCCGCTCAAAATAAATCATTATTATCCTTATTGGTCAACAAAGTCCGGTGCAACAAAGGTGTCACTCGCTGCGCGCGCGCTATTTCAGGCCGCCCCAGAAACGGCGTGACGTCAATGCGGCACAGATTCGCTCTCCAGCGCTCCAGCGTCTAGCCCAGTTAGCCACGGAGCAGATTTAACCCTCACTTGACTGTGCAGGCACTGGGCCTTTTTAACCCTTACCATATCTTCGAAAAATTGATTTTCTGATGAGAAGACAAGGTTTTCCTCCACCATTTAACGTTTTGACCATTCATAGCCATTTTATTTAGAAGAAATAACTTCTTTTTTAAATAATAGTAATTCAGGTTTTTTTTTATCAATTTCAGGCATGTCTTTACCTACATTAAGATTGAGAGTAATCGTCTCCTAGATTCATTCGTTAGAATTGGATTTGGACTTGGATTTTGGGTTATCTCAAAGGATTGGAAGATTCAACTCTATATATTTTTTTAGTCTGTATTGTATCAGGTAGGTATGGGATTATTCTGTGGTATGGGGTAAAAGTGAAACTCTCGATTAGTCAGAAGCCTTTCAAATGCCTTAAGGCTAGGATTTACCGCCTCGATGCCGTGCATTTGTTTACCTCAGCCCCCGCACACCTCGCACTGACACTCGCGCTGACACTCGCGCGACGCGTTGACGCCACAGCGTAAAAACAAACCGTAAGTTGGATGACGGTTTACGTAATCTTCAAATAGTTAATAAATAAATAATAAAATTAAATATCCTTCGACATAATATTTTAACACTGCGCCTCTAGTCTCAAACTAAGCAAAGCTTGTACTATGGGATATGAAAATACTTAAATAACATAACATAAATAAATAAATATTATGGTTAGAAACCGTGCATAGTGCAGTCCACACAGCTTATGACCGCAGTCTGTGGAGGAACACTATCTGTGGTCGCGATCCTCATCAGTGAGGGACCGAGGAAGAAGAAGAATGGTTAGAAAACACCCAGCCCGAAACAAATATTATTATAATGTTCATGCACACAAATGTTTGTCAATCAATAATGTCAAATGAAAGATGATAATATTAAGTCAAACAAATAACCTAGGCAGCACTCTGACAATCCTTAGTATGTACGCAGTATAATTGTAATTACTGCATTAATATTAAGTACAAGTCATCTGTTTTTCCTATGGAAACATAATATCAGTGTGTGTTTAAGTGGAATTACTGCACATATACTATGTGCAAGGTGAACTTAACAATTGTAGAAACATAATAAGAATGATGTAATTGGCACATACTGCACTATTACTGTGTAGCAAATTAAGTAAGCGCGAGTATTCACGTAATATTAAGTTATTATGTGCTCTTACTGCTAACATAGTATGTGAAGAAACCTACAATCTGCTCTTTACTGCGTTTATGATAACATGTATCTTCCGTTCTAAGATAGATAGAAAAAAACGGGTCTTTGATTCTTATAGATCGCGATGTCAGGATTCAGAATATTCAAAACAATCATAAATGCAGTAAGTGGTACTTACTGCGTTTATAAATTGTGCGGCAGAGCACTAGAGATACCGCGCGGGGGTGTTATCGGCTCTGCGCTGGCGCTAGGTGGGTCAATGACGTTCGTTCACCCGCTGCACTGGCACGTGTTGGCCTCGAACCCCTCCCCCCCCCCTCAGATCCTTCCCCCCCCCCCCTCACTTCACAACTTTCCGACATGGATTCGAAATCCTTGGAATTTTCTATTAATATCATTAGAAGCCATAGGTTGTTTTACGAAGATGCTCATAAATTGCGATGAAATCGTTTTTGCTTGCGGCTTAAAAATTATGAACTTACCTATTTGATTCGATATTCGCATTCTAGATAATTCTAGAACACAGTGGAAAATTTTCATCGCCACACGTAGAGTCGATCATATACTAAACTGGGAAATTGTAAATTTATTAAATTATACTGTTACAAATAATATCATCATTTGATTTTATAGGTGTGATATTGAAGGTCATGAAAATACCTGAAGAAGAACCTTCTAGTGAGGCGTCGACTTTATGATACCAAATTGAACTTGATTTAAATAGTGTGAACTAAAATACAATCCAAAGAGCTAAAATGACCCAAAATGCCGATTATTCCTAATTAAGTACTTTACAAGACCTCTTAATTTTTATCCAAATGGTATTGCAGGCTTAGTATACAGGGTGTTAGGTAAATGGGTATATGAGCCAACACTAGCCCATGTTAACATGGGCATATAAATGGTATGGTGAAGTCAGAAAAGCTATATCTTGATTTATTTATTTTAATTTTCATACAAATTGGATTTTATAAAATTTATTTGTATGAATATTTAAAAAATTAAAATGATGATATCAAATTTCTGACTTCACCATACCATTTATATGCCTATGTTAACATGGGCTAGTGTCGGCTCATATACCCATTTACCTAACACCCTGTATATAACCTTAAAGTCTAGTTTTGCTAATTTTCAGACCATTAAATTGCTAGAGTCAATATGTTCATGTCTATCTGAAAGGTGGGTCAATGACGTTCTTTCACCCGCGCCACCACCCGCGCCAGCCTTGCATTCCGCCCCTCCTCCTAAGGGCGCGCTCACATTAGGCGGCTGCGCTGCAACTACCAACCCGTTCTCTTAAGCTGTAGATATGAATACCAAGTAGTCCGAAAACTGAAATAAAAAGATTTAGGTGAATGCGAGAACGTCGCTTAAGATTTGAGAGTTGCGTTCGCGGAGACTTAAATATTTGTCATCACTTTTTTTGTTGAAAAATTAAAATATGTAGAGTACTTTTACGGTGAGTTTCTTATAGCAGCAGTCCTACTAAATACAAGTACGTATATTTTTATTTGTGATGTGAATGCGCTCTAACCTTATCGGTCAATAAATTAATAGGTAACGTATTAGCGTTCGAAGTTTCCCAATGAACCGTACTATCATTATAATAATAATAGTACTTGTTTGAGCTTTATCTTAGTATTGATATTTTAATATTTATGCAATGTTTTAAAAATAGCACTATTTGAAATGTTGCAAAAATAATTTGTTTGTTGTCTCTATAATCTATTGTTATTAAATAGACATTGTTTTAAGTTAACTTGACCTTCATCACTTCATTCATATTAGAATGAGTATACATTAAAGACTAACAAAACTCACAAGTAAGTAGGTACCTTGTATATTTCTTGACTCTATCCAAATGTAAATCTAGGTACGGACGGAAAAATAAATGAAAAATTTATCAACATTTTGCAAGCAAGCCAAGGAATTTATCTCAAGCTACCAGTAGCTTACCTGTTCAATAGCAAAGCTAAGGCGTACTCTACCTGAAAATTATCATATTTTTCACATCTCCTCATTGACCTAGATATTAACATTTCATCTCCACCTCTAATGGTTCTCCCAACAACAAATAGGTAGGTGTTTGTCGTCACGTAGCCGCTCGAAGGTGGGTCAATGACGTTCGTTCACCGCTGCACCCCGTACCCTCCTGAAACATTTCCACCGCTTATAGAGTCGCTGCATAACCGATCAATACCGAGGAAGACATCAAACTAGCCTTGCTACAATGGGAAATAAATAATTGGCTTAGCTTGACATATGACCGTATTTTAACAATAATTCTGTAAATTGTAGTTTCATCAAAACCGTTTTGTAGTTTTTTCGTAAAAGAGTAACTTACAAACGATGCTTGCTTAATCGAAGCACCAACGCTATGCTAAGTCGAACGCACAGCGTTGAGTGGAGCTCTGTGATTGGTTCGTGTATGTCACTCCGCCA